CCGCAATGAGACCAATAACCAGGTTGGGAGCGGGAGCCTAGGTGGGTGGGCCAAGGGATATCCCGCAACCATCAACGCCGTCTTTATCTGGCTCTGTCTCTTCCAGACCATTTGGGATGAACATGACAATAGGACTCGACTGGAAGAAAGGGTTGATACTGTCAACCGATGGAAGGAGATGCTGGACAAGTGTCTAACGGATTTAGATGCTGAGATCGATGCCCTGACACAGGCAGGGAACGAGGGCAGGGTGCCAGGAACCCCTGCTGCAAGGAGATCTCCCCTCCCCCCCCCACTTTGAGATCGGGAAACCCTTGATGGGGATATTTGGTGGCATGTCCATCTGAGTCACTCACTGGCCTCTCTGCTAAAAGTGGGGATGAGAGCTGCTTCCCAGTAGGTGGCCCACCAGCCTCCTGTGCCCTCTCTTTTCTAGATGAAAGAGTCAGCAGAGCAAAACCTGCAGGCCAAGAACCTGCCTCTGGATGTGGCAATAGAGTGTCTGACCCTGCGGGACAGTAGGCGTGACATTGATGTGGTGAAGGACCCTGTGGAGGAAGAGCTGCACAAAGAGGTGGAAGTTATTGATGCCACCAAGAAGGCCTTGCAACGGAAGATCGGCCAGTCCTTTGAGAAGCTCTGGTAAGGGAGAGAGATGTCATTTACACGTTCGTCTGCACTTTAAGGCTGTATGTCTTAAATGTGGAACATATGTACTGTGGCTGACGAACAGTTGGCACTCAGGCTGCCTTCGGCCCCTGCTGTGCTCATGGCAAAAACCACCAACTAGCACTTTTCCCACCACCTAGACATGGTTTCAGAATACTTCTCATGACCCTGCTCTAGGCAGCCATGGTCAGTTGATTGGAAGCATGAGAGATGAAGCCCATTTACCACCTCCCCAACTGAGTACTTTATTGTGAGTGTGGATGTGTGAGTCTTTGTGAGTGTAGCCAATACGTGTGCTCCCGTCAATTTGTGCAAGCACATGGGTGTCATAATTTTTGTGAGGAGCTCATCCAGCTATGGTGGTCTTTGTCTCAGCTGCAGTGGCAGCTCCGTTGTCACTCCAGCCTCCCCATGCCTTGCCGCGTCCTCTTTCTACCCTGCTGCGTGACAAGGTCCGGAGATGGGGACAGAGGCTTCAAGGAATGCATCGTCAAGAACGAGGATGTGGCATGTGTTTAGGGATAATTGGTTTCTTAGAAACGATCTTATTAATGGGGGAATTTGGGTAGCACAAATTCTAGTAAGTGTAAACGCTGTACAAATGGATTTCCTCAAAATTGGCTCTGAGGAAAACATAGTAAATTCCCTGTGTATGGAATCAGCTCTAGTCACCCTGATGTGTCCAGAATGCGTAAACCCTTTATTTGAACAATTATTAAGAGAAATTCCTTTTGACGTGCCTCTTAAAGATGTCATGAATAAATTATAACAAGCTGAATTACTAGAACCAGTTTATACTCCTGTTCCCACGCAGTTAGTAGAAAAATTAGTAAAGGATAAGAAATTTACTCATAAGCCTGTGCCTACTATGGAAGGGCCTCTTTTTGTGGCCTAGTGGATAAATGGAAAACTCTGGTATCCACTTAGGGGGGCTAATAATATGAAAAGATTACCTGATCTTCCTTTGCCTTATACAGGAGCTTATAATAAAGATAGTATACATATAGTGAATAAAGATGGAATTCATGTGCCTTATAGTAGTTTAAGTTTCATAGAAAGGCTGGCTAGGTCAGGACCTCCTTGGTGCTTAACAAACAAAGGAACAGAAACTTAGATTATGAAAGCAGCTTTGTAAAACTGATTTTTATAAATATTTCCCTCAATACTGCACCAAGGAAACTTTTGAACAGCTATGAGAAAGGTTCAGCTTGAACTTTAGATATAGCATAAATGAAATAGCATTTAAAAGATTTCCTCAGGCAGAAAGAACAATGTCTGCCCACAAGCCAATGCTTGCTGTTATGAATACCTCTATCTATCACCTTTACTTAAATCAAACTGTATCTTACGTAATAGATATAATAATTAAAAGTTTAGATTGTTCCATCAGGTAGTTCTGTTCTAATGATTGAGAGCAAAATGTACTAGTTAATCATGAATATTAATAATAATATACTCTATAAGATTTTCTGCTTCGCCTAACCACAGAAATTTAACTCCCTGCTACCTTAACCACAAAGTATAATCAAATGCCAAAATAAAAAGTATAAAAGTTGTACTCAAATCACAATAAAACGGAACAGTGTCACATCGCCTCTGAGTTGTGTAGTCGACTGTCTCCCGCGCCGACGCCTTGCCCACCTTCGGGGCCCCCTGGATCCTGTCGTGGCTGGACCGCGGCAATGCCTCAGTGTCCTTGCAGTATAGTGATGGGTATGTCCTGGGGCCTTGGAGGGATGGATCCTGATAGAGTTTGTTCCTTTGCCAGCCTCCTGCAGGAAGTCCGACAGCAGCTCAACTCTGACCATCGTGGCAAAATGGAGACACTGGACATTGACAGAGGCTGCCTCTCTCTCAACCTCAAGTCCCCAAACATCTCGCTGAAGATTAATCCCACACGTGTCCCTGATGGGTGAGAAGTGTTCCAATCAGTCTCTCTTCCCCCTACACCTGCATAGACCTTACTATTATGACCCCAGTATTTCCTGCCACCTGCAGCTCCTCCACACTTCAGCAGTGGGATGACTTTAGTCAGTTCAGCAAGAACCGGGCAGAGGCTGAGATGAAAGAAGCCGTAGAGCTGAGGGAGGCCATCGCCCTCACTATTGCTGAGGTGACTGACCCCTAGCCCAAGCCCACTCCTCCACAGCTAATGGATGGCCCACGTGTATACTTAAGCCCTTATATTTTTGTTCTCTGTTTATTGTGTGGCATCTCATCCCCTTGCTTGAGCAACATCCTCAGATGGCCATGAGCTTATACCCTCTCTTGCTCTACCTACTTCTTGTCCTTCAGACCAACAATGAACTTGAAGCCCAGAGGGTTGCAACAGAATTTGCCTTCAGAAAGCGGCTGCGGGAGATGGAGAAAGTGTACAGTGAGCTCAAGTGGCAAGAGAAGAATGTGAGCCTTCTCCATTTAGTCCCCTGGGGCTTGGACTTCCTGCTGTGGGATGAGGAGCCTGCTGTCCTGCTAGGAAGCCCTGGGTGCACAACGGTGGGTTCAGCCACTGGAGACCAGTCACTCTGTCTCCTGCAGACCTTGGAGGAGATCACCGAGCTGCAGAAAGATATCCAGCACCTGGAGGATGATTTGCGCAGAAAGTTCCTGAACCTGAAGCTATGCCATACCCGGCTAGAGTCCAGAACCTACCGGCCCAATGTAGAACTCTGCCGGGACCAGGTGCGAGGTCACCCCAGTGGGGCACTGGCCCCTTGCTAAGGTCTCCTCAGGATCACTCTCTCCCCAGCACATATTCCTGGAGGAGAATGGGTCCTGGCATAGGGCAGCACCTAGGCCCATGGGCTAAAGCAGGGGTCCCCAGCCTCCAGGCCATAGACCAGTACCGGTCCGTGGCCTGTTAGGAACTGTTCCGCACAGCGGGAGATGAGCAGCAGGCAAGCGAGTGAAGTTTCATCTGTATTTGCAGCCACTCCCCAGTGCTAGCATCACTGCCTCAGCTCCACCTCAGATCATCAGGCTCAGATTCTCATAGGAGCGCCGGTCCCTGGCGCCAAAAAGATTAGGGACTGCTAGGCTAAAGGATAGTATGACTGACCTGGGACTCCCAACCCTCCCCTCTGCCTCCAGGCACAGTATGGCCTCACTGATGAGGTTCACCAGTTAGAGGCAATCATCGCTGCCCTGAAGCAGAAGCTGGCGCAAGCACAGTAGGTTTGGGGAGTGGGCAAGAGGGGGAGGGAGACATCTCCCATCTGTTGGGCCTCTTGCTGCCTGCTGGCTGCCCTGCTGTCTTCCTGACTGAAGACCAGTGAATTCAGTCCTGGCCTTGCAGTCCCCCTCATGCGGGGGTGGTGGATTGTTAATGCCTCCTCCCCAGGGATGCTCTGGATGCGCTGTACAAGCACCTGGCCCGGCTGCAGGCTGACATCGCCTGCAAGGCCAACTCGATGCTTTTGGACACAAAGTGCATGGACACCCGTCGGAAGCTGACTGTGCCTGCTGAGAAGTTTGTACCTGAGGTGGACACTTTCACCCGCACCACAAACCGCACCCTGAGTCCGCTCAAAAGCTGCCAGCTGGAGCTAGCCTAGCCTTGGAAACCGAGATGGGGAGGGAAGGTTAGGTGGGAAATGGAAGAGGAAGTGGGGTGGAGAAAATGAATCTAATAAATTATGGGGTTCTCTGTCCAGATGGTTCTCTGATACTGCTGCATGTAGCCAGCAGGGAGAGAGAGGGTTCTTGGCCATCCTGCACATGGAGGAGCAAAGATCGGGACCATCATCCCCGAAGCTCCATATTTGAAATCCATGAACCTGAAGCTATGGTTCCAAATTCCTTCTCCCTCCTCAGGGAGACCCTCCGTGGGCCAGGCCAGCACTGGGCTCTAGTGGCGTGACCAGCCCTGCCCGGCTGGACCCTTTTTTGGCCTCTTGATACATAGGGGAGACCCAGAGGCGGTTGGGATCACAGTGTAAGAGTCTGGGGGTGTGAGCCCAGGCCCGAGTTGGGGCCAAGTGCAGGGGCTGCCACTGGAGGGTGGGAGTGCTGGAGAACAGAGCGAGGTTTCATAAAGGCAGGCCCCAGGGGGCAGTACCCTGACGGGCAAGGCTGCCATAGTCCGATGGTCCCCTCAGGGTCCCTTTCGTGGTGACACCGTTTACCGGTTGGGAGAATGAGGGCTAAAAGCAGAGACCTGGCGGAATCCAATCCAATCTCAGCGTTGCGAGACCAGCTGTGGCCCACGCACGTGGAGCTGCGCCTCCAGGCCGCTGGGCGGCGCTGCGGGCAGGGAGCGACGCTGGGGCTCCGGGCCGCGGGGCGGCGCTGTGGGGCTGGGGCACTATGGGGGAAAGCGGCGCCAAGGGGAGCGCGCCCGCCGCACCGGAAGTGGCGACGGGTCCGCGCGGATGGCGGCGGCGACGGTAGCGATGACGGCGGCAGGCTGCGGAGGGGCTGGGGCGGCCCGCTCCCTCTCTCGCTTCCGAGGCTGCCTGGCAGGCGCGCTTCTCGGGGACTGCGTGGGCTCCTTCTACGAGGCGCACAACACCGTCAACCTGACGTCAGTCCTGCGTCACGTCCAGAGCCTGGAGCCGGACCCCGGCTCGCCCGGGAGCGCGCAGACAGGTGGGAGGGGCCGAGCGCCCGCTAGGGACTCGGGGCGCCCGGGAGCGCGGTCGGGATAGGTGCGTTTTCGGAGATGAGGCTGCCTAGGGCGGCAGGGGCCAGATCTGGATGGCCCGCGTGCACCACGGCCTCGGCCTGGCTAAATTCGAGCTCCGTCATTCACATGTCTCGCCCTGAACGTTCCCCAGGTTGGGGAACACCATTCTTTCAGCCGTTCAAGCCAGAAACGTGGGCGTCATTCTCCTAAATTGCGCCTAGTTCAACATATACACCCTGCCAATTTTACCTCTTACCCAGTTCTCTCGAATGGGTGCACCACCACTCCATTCTCTGCACAGCAGGGAGTACTCTTCCCAGAAAATAGATCTAATCGTGCCTCCCCCGCATGAAACTCTACAGTGATTTTCCCTTACCCTTAGGATAGAGCCAAATTCCTTAACGTGTCCTACCTGGCCGGGCGTCGCATGCGTCTCCAGTTTCATCTTACACCACTCGTGGCCTTCTTTCTGTTCTTCGGTTCCTCACATCGTGCTTCCTCTAGCCCAGGCCTGTGCCGTCCCTTGTCTTGTAAATAAATCTCTCTCCCCTCTGCTTCTCCCTCCTCTTGTGCAAGTCAACTCCTCACCCAGATCTCAGCCTAGTACCACGTCTGAGGTCAAGCAGAGGATGATTCTTTTTGAAGAGCATGCAGAATAGTAAGGAAAAGGGCCCCTACTCAGGGGCCCTGGAAGAAGAAAAGGAGCTAGAGAAGAAAACAGTTGGATAGGAGGAGAAGCAGGTGGCATGGGTATCAACAAAACCTAAGGAAATTTCAAGATGAAGACACAGGTTACTGGTGTGCTACAGAGAGGTTAAGTAAAGGAAAGTCTGGATTTAAAAAAGCATTTTCAGTAAAAAGGTTGAAGCCTGGAAGTTAGATTTCAGTGGGTTTAGGAGGAAGTGGAAAATGTGAAAGTAGAGTATAGTTTGATATGAAGGAAAGGAAAGAGATGAGCTATGGATGAGGTGAAAAGATGGACAGTTTTTAATTTCATTTTGATTTGATGTTAAGATGAGGGAAAAACATATTTTAGGTTGAGAGTTGTTTTAGGACCCAACTCTAAATGGCCTGAGCAAAAAAGAGGTAGGTCTGACTTCAAGCAGGGCTGAGTCCAGGGGCTGCAGCTGCATCCTCAAGACCCAGTTCCTGTCCTTGTTCAGATCTGCTTTCTTCTCAGTGGCCTTCACTCACTCTGGCAGATCTTTCCCATGGGGAACTCCCAGCAGCTCCAGCAGAGGAAGAGTTTATCTTTGCAGTAGGTGACACAAAAGTCCCAAATTGAGTCTCACTGGCCTGGCTTAGATCATCTGTCCATCCCTGAACAAAGGAGTGGGGCGTGCTATCTGATTAGGCTAGAGGTGGCTTTAACTCCATGCCCTAATCACATGGACTGAGAAAGGAAGAAAAGCAGGGTACAGGGACCAAACAAAGGGAGAATGGGTGCTGCTTCACCACAGAGATCAAGGGTACAGGAGAGGAGACAAAGTAAGAACAAGTTCACCGGGCATGGGCTGGGATGGGCCAGAGGAGAAACTCACTCCCTCTAGGGGAGACTGGAGAGTACAGCTGTAGATAAGGTGCCTGTTAGCCTCTGGCTAGTGAAGGTGATGGGGGCCTCCTCAGAGTGAAGAAGCTGAAGAAAGTGGGCTTGGGGCTTGGGATACGTGGAGAGGGGGCCACATAGCCAATGTGAGGAATGAGAAAGGGGGCTCACTAGGGATTGTGTTTCATTCTCTGTAACTGGCTCTTCCTTCAAATAAAACCAAGTCCCTGGCCCTAGCCTATTTATAGCCCATCTGAGAAGTCACCATATGACCAGTGGTGCTGTGTTGGAAGTGCCAGAGCAGTACTCTCAGGCACCCAGAGGAAGGGAGCGGACAGGGCCAGGGGAGGGAGGGCAACAGCCCCAGCTTGGCTCAGGACCCAAGACTGGTCCTGGGGATACGTAGGAGAGCAGTGGGATATAAGGTGAGTGAAGAAGGAAGGGCTTTGAATGCTAAGGCAGTGAATTTGGACTTCACCCTGAAGGCAGCAGACAGCCATCACGAACCGGAGAGTGAGATAAGGAAAGTGATAGTCTCCTCTTAGGAAGAATTTCCTGGTTGCACATATAGGCCAGGTTGGAGGGTAGGGAACGTGCAGGAGGTTTGAGAGGCCAAAAGCAGGTCATATGAAGACTAGAACTACAGTGATGGCAGCCAGAAGTAGGTGGAAGGCTTTCCTTCGGATATCATCAGGACATGGTCACTGACTCAGAACAAAGAATTGCTGAAAATTGAAGACCTGGAGCCCAGGAAACTGGATGGGAGTGAGAGGCTGACTTAAGGCATTCTGAAAGTGGTAAATAAAAGGAATGAGCAGGAGGGCAAAGCTGCCACCTTGGAGCCCTGCAGCTCTCCTCCCCTCCCCCTCCTCCCACCCTGTCGCTGCAGAAGCATTGTACTACACAGATGACACGGCCATGGCCAGGGCCCTGGTGCAGTCCCTGCTGTCCAAGGAGGCCTTTGACGAGGTGGACATGGCTCACAGGTGAGGGGGGATGGTCCTGGGATGAGACAAACCAGGTGGCAGAGTTTTTGCGCCCCTTGACCAGAGCAGTGATGGCCATGCATGCCGGGACCCCCATCCACAGCAGGACACTATCTTGAGGTCCACTGCAGCTTCCCAAGCTAGAAATGATAGCATCGCTAGTGTAGGCTTCATAGGTCTCCAGGGCTTCCTCTTTTCCCAAACCAGCCACGTTTCTTCTCTCCCAACCTGACAGGCGTCTTTGAAATCCCCATCCTGTCTTCCTTCTCTCCCCTAGATTTGCTCAGGAGTACCAGAAAGAGCCTGACAGGGGTTATGGTGCTGGAGTAATCACTGTCTTCAAGAAGCTCCTGAGCCCCAAGTGCCGTGATGTCTATGAGCCTGCCCGAGCCCAGTTTAACGGCAAAGGTTCCTATGGCAATGGGGGTGCCATGCGGGTGGCTGGCATCTCCCTAGCCTACAGCAGCATCCAGGATGTGCAGAAGGTAGTCGGGGCAGGCTGGTTTCTGGGCTATCCCCTCCCTCCCCTTGTCTTCTCTTCTCTGGGTTCTGCAACAGCAGGTCTTAGCCCCCACTGCCTTTGCCCTAGTTTGCCCGGCTCTCGGCCCAGCTGACTCACGCCTCCTCCCTGGGTTACAACGGAGCCATCCTGCAGGCCCTGGCTGTGCACCTAGCTTTGCAGGGAGAGTCATCCAGCGAGCGCTTCCTCGAACAACTCCTGGGCCACATGGAAGAGCTGGAGAGTGATGCCCAGTCCATCTTGGATGCCAGGGAGTGAGTATTGGGGTAGAGTTGTGTTTGTGAGTGTGTGTGTGTGTGTGTGTGTGTGTAGTGTGGGGTCCTCTGGCATTACCACAAGCTAAGACCTTTAATTGCAGACCCTAGGCAGGGGCAGGAATAGCCCCTTTGCCTTGGCTGTGCCACAGGCTCTCAGGGTCCCAGAGAACAAAACAGGTGGCTCACACTCAGCCTTCTCCCACTTGACTCGTAGGCCTGGGTGTTAGCCTAGTTGCATGCCTGCCTCACCCCCCCACATAAACCTCCCCCTGCCCGGCATCTCCTCCCTGCTGGCTCTGATCTCCCTGAAATCTCACCTCTGACCCACAGGCTGGGCATGGAAGAGCATCCGTATTCCAGCCGACTGAAAAAGATTGGAGAGCTTCTAGAGCAGGACTCGGTGACCAGAGAGGAAGTGGTATCCGAGCTAGGTGGGTAGTCCCCCGACATCTGTCATCCTTCAGAATCAGGCTTGGGCTCAGGGATGGGAGGGGAGCATGGAGACACACCTGCCCGGAGCTGCTGTGACAGCAGAGTGAGCCCTGTAGGGTCCTTAGCAGGTCGTGAGCGAGTGTAGCGCCACCTTGCCCTAGGGCCACAGCACCTTCAGCCTTACTGATAAATGTCCCTAGAAATGGTAGCTGGCCACCAGCTCTTACAGCTAATGTTGACAACTGCTATTTGTTTATATAGTAAGGGAATTTTTCCAGTCACCCAGCCAGTAGGTGTGAGAGCCACGATTTGAACCCAGGTACTCCAGCCTCTAGAGCCTGTGATCTTAATCACCGCCCAACTCGAGGCTGAGAGTGTTGACTTGTGGCAAGTGGCAGGAAGCCTGGAGACATGCAGGGGTGGGGTCAAGTTCCCATAATCTGGCATCCCCACAGGGAATGGCATTGCTGCCTTTGAATCTGTGCCCACTGCCATCTACTGCTTCCTGCGGTGCATGGAGCCCGACCCTGAGATTCCGTCTACCTTCAATAACCTCCAAAGGACTCTCATATATTCCATCTCACTTGGTGGGGACACAGACACCATTGCCACCATGGCAGGGGCCATTGCCGGTGCCTACTATGGAATGGAACAGGTGCCAGAGAGCTGGCAGCAAAGCTGTGAGGGTTACGAGGAGACAGACGTCCTTGCCCAGAGCCTGCACCGGGTCTTCCAGAAGAGTCCGTGAGAGCCATAGCTGCTGGGGCTCTGCTATGTCCAGCAGGACCAACTACAACTCGTGTTGGAAATCCTGAGCTTCTTTGTATTTGGCTCCCTGCCTCAGTCTTCCTGCAGCATGGGTGAAGTGCACCACAGGCCCTGGGCTCTCTGGGGGAGGTCACTGGAACAGTGAGTAAGGGACTGGTGCCTCCCTGGTGCTGGGCTTGTGGCTTGCTACAGAGCCTTGGGCACTCCCAGCAACTCAAACATGAGGGACCAGGGCAAGTTATTTTGGAGGGGTACTTGTGGCATTTTGCTTTATTATCTAGGACATGGGATTGGAGAGGTGGAAATGATCTGTAGTAGCATCATTTCTCCTTGTTGGGATTTAGCCAGTTTGCCAGAAGGCCTGTCTTTGACTGGGCAGGGTCCCTGAACAGCAGGTTTCTATGGATCAAGGAGACAGGCACTTGAATCTAGCTGATCTAGATACACACCTGGCCCTTGGCTGTCAGGTTTGTTAACAGCTTCCATCAGAAATCACAGCAATAAACAGTTTTTGTTAAATCCCACCATGGTCTCCTGTGTTTCTCCTCTGCCCTGAATGGATTCTTCCCCCTCGATGTGCCTAGTGCCTCTGTCTGGGCCATGCTCTCCTAGGGGCTAGCATCCCAAGGTGACGAGCTGCTGGGCTGTCAAGGCGGATTCCTCCAGTTCTTCCAGCTAGCTGCATTGTTTAGCCAGGAAGGGCAGATCAAGCATGGTTTGGTGCCTTTTCCTGTGAGATCACTCAGGAGAGGCAGGGGCAGGAACAGCCAGGTTTCTTTCTCTCAGAGCCTGACTTCTTCATAGATTGTTCCCCAAGTAGCGCCCAAGCCTAGCCAGGCCAGAAACAGGAACCCTTTAGAAGGATGCAGAGTGCACCTTCTATCACTGCTGACCTTTGGGTGGTGAAGGCACATCACCCCACATGCCCTGGGTGGACTGAAGGCTGTGCCTCATTCTGCATCTTGGTCCTAGTCAAAGGCCTCGTCCTGCTAGGAAGTTCTGCACACTCCAATTCAATGAAAGGGAAGAGACACCTCCCATCAAACATCAGGGATATTCTGAGCATCCTTCCAGCCCAATTGGAGAGAGAAGCACACCCAGCTCTGCAGCTAACATGAGGTTTTAGGACTGCTTGGCAGATCTGCTTTCAGCCAATGTAGGGTTCTGCCAGGCGGGGCAAACCACAAGACTTTGCAGGGCATGGATTGGTCTCCAGTGTGTCATCTGATACCCAGAGCCAGAGACAGATCCCTAGCTGCAGAGCATGGCAAGCTGCGAGGCAGGTACTTTCTGCCCAGGGCAGCTCCGTGGTCCCTGCCTTCATCACTGGGCCTGGCACTAGCCCCACCCACAGGAGCAAAGATTCATGATTTCATTCATAATTTGTATCAGATGTTGAAACTTGGACCTTGGGAGCCTGAGCCAGCTGTCATGCTCCACTACCCCTGAGAGCTTGCAGGAATGTTTCAGGGAAGGTTGATCCGTCTTCCCCCAGCTCCAGCCACTGCCTAACTGCTTTCTTAAAAGGCCTCATGGCATTTACTTGGTGCAGAGCTTTGGCAGCTTAGGAGCACAGTTTCCTATGCAGTGGTGACAGAACCCATGGCCGGGCAGCTGGGGAGGGACACATGCTCCTTGAGAGACGGCACAGAGCAAGAGCCTCAGCAAGCTCCCTGGACGCCTTATGAAATCCAAAGGCTTGAGACCCCTCTGCATGAATGCCATTCTCAGCACTGTGCTGTTTTACACAACAGGTTTTATTGAGGCTGTGTCAGTACAGTCAATACAATTGTTTTTCTTTTCAAAAGTCCCATTTTCTTTGATTCCCAAGTGCATTTTTCCCTAATCTTCTGTGACACAGGGCACATAATAGCTATGTAGAAAACTAAGCTGCTTAACCAGGTTAGAAATGGAATGACTAATGGAAAACATTTAAACCTTAATCTTTAAAAAAAAGGAATTGGAATATAAAAATGCACAAGGTAATGTAGTTTTCATTGTTAAAACCTGACATTGTTTATCAAAGCTAGTTAAGTGGACAACTGGAACTAAAATCCCACAAACATTTCAGAAGCACCAACAACCCCTCCCAAAGGCTTCAGGAGTGACATTTATCAGAAGCTCAGTTCTGTGAAACAGTTTTTTGGGGTTCCCCCATACCTTCCTTGGTCCCCTGGGTAACCATTGGGAGCTGATGAATTTCCACCCATCAGAACCTCTCCCTAACAGGTCAGACGGTCAGTGGTGGCTTTGACCCAGAAAGGAGGCTGAGCAAAGGGCTCACCAAGTATGGTTCGAGATTCCTTAGCTCTCATGGCTGTAGGGGCGTAAGAAATCCACCATGAACCCAGGCCAAAACCTATTCTTTAAGTGTCGCTTGGGCAGATTGGGTTTTCATTTCTCCTTTTGAAAGTTAAAATGAGCGGTCAAATGGCCTGCTTTGTTGGGAGAAGTTGGTGGGGAGGAAGACAGGCAAGGGGCCTGAGGGAACCACAGCTTAGCGAGTCAGAAGTCAGCAGTCACCCTCCATTTCAATATGGACGGTCTAGCGGGGCCAGAATCGGAACAGCGCAACCAGGTCAAGTTGACTAATGCAGGCTCGCACTGATTCAAGAAAGTGGGCTGGCTTGGGGAGGGCTAAAGGAGAGGGCCCAGGCCACTGCTAGAGTGGCTGTCCTTACACGGGTAAGAGTGTCCATCCCTACCCCAACGTTAATCTCAGCTTTATCCATTCGGCTTGAACCAGGGGCTGAGGGGATGGGAGGGGGATCCTGCCTGTTTATTACAGCAGAACTCTGATTAGGGAAAATGGCAGAAACATTCATGGCCAACTCATTGCAGAGGGGCCTGTTGGCATCCTTTTTCTCAGAGCCTCAGCCTCCTGGGCCCTAATCCTGCTTAAAACAGGAAATTGGAACCAGAGAGGAAGCTCCCCAGATTAACCCCTCTAGTAGACACACATACCCACCATGTGGTCCTTAATAAGGAAAAGCAGGCAGAACCTTCATCCCCGAGCTTGTGAGCACCTTGTTCTCGGGGCCAAGTGAGAGGCTCTACCTTGGGGATATTTGGGTTGGGGTGACAAGGATCCCTTACAATTTTGTATGAGAAAATCAGCCCTCCCCCAAGAAATACTGTTTACTGATAGTTGACCCTGTCTCATGCCTACCTGTCTCATGCCTACCTGTGCCCCTCCCCAGGGGGGCCTGGGCTGCTGCCCTCATGCTAAACAGAGTCAGAGCTGGTAGGGCAGCCTGGGAGATGGAGATGCCTGTGAAGACACCCCAGCTCCATGCCCTGACCCCTCACAAACTACCATTCCCCATGGCTGTGGCAAGAGCTGGGAAAGGGGATTAGCCCTTCCCAGGAGCTTGCAGGAGGGGCCACACACTTGGACCTGCCGTGGACAGGCCTGATGCCACAGCACTGCCCCTGGGTTTACAGTCTTGGCAGGGTGTCCATGCTGGCCACCTCGATGGTCCCCCTCCTCTCCCTTTCCCCTGGAGAGAAACAAACTCTTCAGGGGACCCACCATCATATGCTGGGTCCCAGGGGAGCTGGAAGAGCCCCAGCCAAGATCTAAGGGAGGCTATGTCCCATTCCTTGAGCAGGTGCCATCTCAGGGCCAGCAGGAAGGACAGGGCTTAAGAATATGTCCCCCCACCCCCTCGGGGTGGCGGGTGGTAGATGGGGAACCCAGTCCCTTCTCAGCTCTAACAGAGAAGCAGCATCTTTCACCACCCAGCAGAGCCCAGGACTCACAAGAGGGTAGGGGTCTCCGACAGCTGGGCTGAGTGTCCTGGAGCCCTGCCTGCAGGCCAGGCAGGGCAGGAATAGGGGTGCAACCCCGACACTGCACAGACACTTGGTGGGGAAGAACTCAGGCCAGCCTCTTCCAGAAACAACCTCAGCCTGCATGGAGGAAGAAACCAAGTCAGTCTCCTCGGGCCAAGGCCAAGGCCACGGACGCCTCTGTTCCCGCCTCTGTTCAGCCTTTGGTTTTTTCTTTAAATGCAGGTTCTTCGTAACTGAGAAGGTCTCTCTACCACTAAAGAGGAAGAGGCCAGGGCAGCAGGGCCCCGTGGGTTATGTGGGGCAGAGCAAGAACCCTGAAAAGGAGGAGTGGATGTACTCAGTGGAGTAGAGGCCATTGGCCTGGTCCGAGGGCATCTGCACCCAGACCTGGTCGTTGGGCCGCAGCTGGAGCACGGCTCCGCCAGACGCCTGGTCCAGGTAGCCCTTCTTGTACTCGTCGTAAGTGTAGGTGGCTGGCACGTTGTTCTTATACAAGGCCACCCACACATTGGTGCCCTTGACATGCACATGGTAAGCAAAGTAGTAGACCCCGCCCACAGGGCAGGTGAAGATGCCGGTGGCAGGGTTGTAGCCGCTGTGGCCATTGTAGAGAGTCCGATCAAATTTAACAGGCATGCCCGAGGCAGGAAAGGGTGAGGTGAGCACGGCAGTGAAGGCAGGTGTGGCATGGGCTGACAGCTCGCCCAGCCCAAACTGTGGCTTTCCGCCCTTGCCCAGCACAGCGCCCTCCACACCACCATTGGGCAGGTGCAGGCCAGCGATGCCAGTCTCATCGAAGGCCCCTGGGGCACCAGGGGGGCCAGGTGGCCCCGGAGGCCCAGGAGGGCCCGTGAGTCCTGGGGAACCAGGGACCCCAGGGGGCCCTGTAGGCCCAGCCACACCAGGTTCCCCCACTTTCCCCTCTCCAGGGGGCCCTGGCAGACCTGGTTCACCCTTCAGGCCTGGAAGACCCTGGGGCCCAATAGGGCCAGCTGGGCCCTGGAGTCCTGGGATTCCTGAGGGGCCCCTCAGGCCAGGCTGCCCAGGGAGCCCCAAGTCACCCTTCTGTCCCAGGGCTCCTGCCACCCCTGGTCCCCCAGGGCGGCCCGTGAAACCTTGCTCACCCTTGGGCCCAGTCGGTCCAGGGGGTCCATGGGCCCCGGGAAGGCCCCTCTCTCCCGGGAGCCCAGTTTTCCCAGCCAGGCCACTTGGTCCCTGGTCACCCCGAATGCCAGGCGCTCCTGGGGGTCCTCCAGGCCCTACCTCCCCCTTAAGTCCAGGGGGCCCACGTCTGCCAGGGAGCCCTGCAGACCCAGGAAGTCCAGGGGGGCCCCCAAGGCCCTGTGGGCCCTGCTCCCCTGGCTCTCCATCCTCACCTGGCTCACCCCTGTCCCCCAAGAGCCCCGGGACCCCAGCTGGGCCCTTGTCTCCCTTGGGTCCTGGCAGTCCTGGCATCCCGTAGCCGGTGGGGCCTATCAGGCCAGGGGGACCCCGGGACCCTGGTTCCCCTTTGGCCCCTGCTGGGCCCTGTGGCCCTGGTACCCCTGCTGACCCTGGTATCCCCACACCATCTACCCCAGGGGGCCCTTTTGGGCCCAATCCCCCTGGCTCCCCCCTGGGACCTGGTACCCCAGGAGGCCCAGATTCACCCTTATCTCCAGGGGCCCCAGGAAGCCCATCCAAACCTGGTTTGCCCAAGCCAGCTGGACCAGGGAGGCCAGGAGGTCCGGGGGCACCGCCTTGCCCAGGAGCACCAGGTAGCCCTGGCTGGCCCACCCCATTGTCCCCCTTGAGGCCTCGATCACCCGGGGGTCCAGGCTCACCCTGGGGCCCCGGCTCCCCCCCAAATCCTGGGGGCCCTGGTACCCCCTGGGGGCCTGGTTTCCCAGGGACAGCAATGCCTGAGGGCCCAGGGAGGCCAGGGGGCCCTGGAGGGCCCCGGAGGCCCTGGTCCCCTCGTATCCCTGGCTCTCCCCGAATCCCCGGCTGCCCTGGTGGTCCAATCTTGCCTGGGAGCCCTGGGGGACCAGCCTTGCCTATCCGGGAGAAGCCAGGGGGGCCGGCGGGGCCAGGCTGCCCATGTAGCCCTGGTTTTCCAGTGCCTGGTTTTCCTGGGAAGCCAGGAGGGCCAGGGGGTCCCCGAGGCCCAGGTTTCCCAGGGGGACCAGGCTCTCCTTTCAGATCCATTGGTAGCAGCGGTAGAGGCATTTCTGAGAGAAAGAGAAAGAGAAGGGGCAGTCAGAGCTTGGACAGTGGGGACAAAGGACCCATCTACCCACTCCCGCACACCAGCATGGATGGATCCTGAGAAGACAAGGCTCTATATCTGTTCGTGAAGTCCACAACCCCGCTCTCTCCTCTCCCAGCTCTTATGGAAGATGGAGTTTAGGGTTCTTCAGTGGCAATCTTGGGAGCTTCGTGGTGTCCCCACCCAGGGCTCCTATCATTCAACCTACCCAGGCTGGGCCTTCCCCAACAGCTTGGGGTGCCTCTCATTCCTGCATGACCTGGGGTTGAATGTCCGCCAGGTGGCGCCCGAAGCCCTCCGTAAGCCAGTTGGAACAGACCTGCTGCCATCCCCACCCAACTTCCCCACAGACCTTCCCACCCCGCCCCCGCCCTACTAAAGACCCCCTCTGCCGGACTGCCGTACCTGCTTCCGGGCCCTACTGGGGTGGGAGGCCCTGGACCCGCATCAGGAGTAAAGCGGAGATGGGAAAATCTTTTGTGGGATTGCGGGGCTGTGACCGTGACCGAGGGGCCTGTGAGGAGCTGGTGAAGGTGGGGAGGCAGGGAGCTGGGGGTGGAAAGGCAGGGAGCTGGGGGTCGGGAGCCGTCCGAGGCACTGGGGGTGGGGAGGTGCTCACCCAGGTACTGGCCCTTGCCCTCGCGGAACGGCGGGCCCACGGGTCCTTTGTGCATGGGCTGCACGTACTTCACCGGCGCGTAGCCCGCTGCCCCAACAGCCCCGCCGCCGGTGGCTGCCCGCGGCCCGCACCCCAGCAGCAGCAGCAGCAATAGCAGCAGCAGAGGTGATGGCACAGACAGGGGCGTCAGAGCCCCCCGCATGGCGTCCACAGGCGTGCTGCAGGGAGGAACCGAGAGGGGCCATCAAGCCAGCCCCTGAGTGGTTTGGCACCAGGCCCAGGAACTCACAAAGAGATCAGAAGTTAGATATTATTCACAAGCAATTCCCAAAGTCTTAGAGTCTGAAGAACCTCTCCCAACCCTGCCCTGGCTATCCATCCCCAATGCCTTCTCCCCTGGACAACAGGCTTCCCCCAGACCAGTCACTCTGCAGTCAGACACCCTTCCAGAGCCCTTGGCGGCCCCTGCTCAACACTCTTTGATGACACCCACTACCATTTGCTGTGCGAGGCATTGGGCTAAGCTCTCCAAAGATGAAAACTCGCTGAATTTCCCTAGCACTTTAACAAGGTAAAATTCTCGTCATCCCATTTCCCAGGTGACAAAAATAAAGCAAAGATCTTTTGGAAGCAAAACTGGGATGTGCCTTAGATATGTCTGACTTTGCATTACGTAGGTGCCCTTCTGAGGCTCCCCACTGCCTTCAGGATCAAGTCCATGTGCCTAGCATAGCACTCAAGGCTTTTGTTTTTAAAGATGAGAATTTTAATTTTCATTGATAAACCATGATTTCCTATTGAATACATAAGAGAGTACAATTAACAATAATATAACCTTCTAACATTTAAAATGTAAACTTTCAGAATCACCTTAATCAATACACAAAGCTTTCATGTCTGGGAAAATAAATTTTTTTTCAAAGTTTTTCATAGTCTTTATATTTTTTTTAAATGCCAATTTTTTTCATACTATATATACATAATTTTTTTAACATTTTATTTTTGAGGGGGGAAAATAATGTTTTATTTCAACAGTAGTCTTCCCAAAAGAGCTCCTCAAAATAAGGGATTTATGAATAAATTTTTATAAATCTTCCTGTGTTCAAAAGAAATCGACTCTACCACATCAACTGCACCCTACTAAAAATCCGAAACAAAAAGCCTGGAAGGACCTGAACAGAGCCACACCCTACTGAAGCCATCAAAGACATCCACAAATAGAACATGGAAGTACCCTCCACCACTGAATCAACGCAGTGGGCAGGAGAGTGGTAAACCATGGCCTCACGACAACATGAAGTGGACTTATTCTTAAAATAGGTAGCAGCACATATATCAATATCACCCCTATTACAGAGACACACACATACCAAAGCATAAGTGTCCTTTAAGTGAAAAACTCAGAAATGATCTAGGAAATATCTATTTTCCTGGGCTACAATAACTGAAATGAAAATGACAATATTTTATGGATGATGCAATGCGGCATCAAGAGTCACCTGAAAACATAACTCATTGGCTAAAAATAGTTCTAAATCCTATCTCATTGATAGATACTTAATTAAAAATGTATATTGAAGGCTTAGTTTCCTAAAAAAAAGTAGGATATCAAGTCCTTTTAAATTTAATCTGTACCTGTGTCTCCAACCCTGTCACCTATCGGGCTTTTCTCTGCCTCTCCCGTCCCTCAGACCTCTGCCCCAATAACAAAGAACTGCTTATGGCTGGCTCCCAGACTCCAGGTAGCCTCACACTTCTGGGACTTTGCATCTACTGGTTCTCCACCTACAATGCTCCTCTCCTCTCTTACTCATCCTTCAAGTCTCGAGGAAGCTGTCGCCCCTTCCTCCATAAAGTTAACTCCTCCCTTCTTCTCTTTCTGACCTAGTCTGGTTACAGCATTTAGGTCACCTCCAAGAACAAGGCCTGGGTGGGGAGAAGCACAGGCTTTTTGCTGAAACAGCCAGCCCGAGTCCTCCACTCCCCAGCTGGGGGAGCTTGGGCAAGAGGTTTCCACTTTGTGAATCTGTTTCCTTGTCTATAAAGTGGGATAATGTGTCCACACAAAAGGGTGTACACGAATGTTCACAGCAGCCGTAAAGTAGAAATAACACAGAGGAGCATCAACTGATGAAAGGGTGAAGTATGGTATATCCATATAATGGAATAGTATGCAGCAATTAAAAGAAATGAAGTATTGAAAAATGCTACAATACAGATGAATCTTCAAAACATTATGCATATAAGTGAATAAGCCAGTTATAAAATTATATAATTCTGTTTATGTGAAGTATTCAGAATAAGTAAATCTGTAGAGATAGAAAGTAGATTTGTGGTTGCCTAGGGCTGGGGGTGCGGGGGAAATGGGGAGTAACATTTTATGGTGATAAAATGTTCTAAAATTTATTGTGATGGTTGCACGAGTCTATGAATACATGAAAAAATATTGAATTGTAAACAACTGTTTAATATGCAAATCATATTTTATTATTTAATAGGTAAATCATGTTATTTTTTGAAAACTGGGCTTCTCAGGGCTGCTGTGATGATTAGAGATATTGTGTCTGCCTCACAGCGGACAGCCACTAATATCTGAATTTTACATACCCAAGGAAAGCCCCAGTTTCCCTCGGATTTCTGCTTTGGGCTCCCCTAACCCCCACCCCAGGGCCCCTCAGCACCTATGCCTGGTCTCCAGAGGGGTTTGGGGGAGAGTTGTGCACACCAGGGAAGCATGTGGGGAGCACAGCCCTCCCTGATGCGGGACTGAGTCCGGAGCTGCAACTCAATGTTCCCCTAAACTCAGGGTCATGTGGAGCTTTGTAGGAATGACTGGAGGGTTCCGGAGAAGGTTGGTGAAGCTGCCAAACCAGCTCCGGGGTTCAAATTCCGGCTCTGCCATCAGCCTGGTCTATAATCTTGGGCAGTCTCCCTGAGCCTCAGCCTACCACTCATGGGGCTCCCCACGCGCCAGGCCCTAGCTCAGGGCCCAGCAGGCTTCACTTCATGGAATTCTCTCAATGACCCTCTGAGGCTTATGCACTTATGTCCTCATTTTATAGATGTTGAAACGGAAGCTTGGACTGTAAAGATCTTGCCCAGGACACATGACTGGGAAGTGTGAGAACCGAGGCCTCATCCAGAGCCTCAGCACGGGGCCCGTGCTCTGTCACATGACTGATGCCAGAACTCCTGAGGCTGCGCCTGACAGGCCCGGACCTCTGGTCCTGCTGATGGAGGCTCTGGCCAGACACTGCCCTAAGGTTTTACATCCCACACACATACTCAGCCTCGTGAAGCGTGTTAGCCTTGTTTTAGAGATGAGGAAACTAGGTGCAGTCAGAACCTAAACCGAGGCTGTCTGATCCTTGAGCCCCCGCCCTTACCACCATACCACCCCACCTCTCATGAACAGAAAAAGGGCCCTCCTGCACCAGCCACCTGATGGGGTAGTGGGGAGCAGTGCTCACACATGCACAGGGCCAGAATACTCTGCCTGATGAGTGGCAGGAGGGTAGGGGAGCAGGTGGAGGCAGGTAGAGCATGTAGCAGGAAGCAGAGGGAGGGGAGCGAGCCATTCTGGCCCGAGTAGGCCAGAGGCCAAGGTCGTGGCACCACCACAGGAGGACTCAGGACAGCCCTAGCTCTGGGACCTGAGACAAGTCCTCACTAGTGGTGGGGGGTGATAGAGGGGACAGGCAGCCTCAGACTCAGCTGGGAGGACTGTGGAGGGGCACAGGAAGGCAGGGCACCAAAGGAAGAGCCCCAAGTCTAGTCAGGAGCCAGGGCAGGGCCTCCCAGCTAGCTCACCACCTTTCATTCCTCCTTGGCAATGTAGGTCTCCAAGGAGCATCCCTACCCCACACCCTGTGGCTCCCTGAACTTGCCCTTTCCCAGCACCTTGGGCACTGTGTCCTCTCCGCTGAGGTGGGACAGACCTGCAGCGAGGCCCCAGAGCAGGAGCTTCCTCTGGAGTGAGGAGTGTCTACGGCAGAATGATAGCTCACATTTGCTGAGCACACAGACCTCCCATCAGGCCCCCGCCTAGGTGCTTTATGTTCAGTCTATGATTTAACTCCCAGCAGGTCTCTGGAAGGGAGGAGCTGTTGTGATTCCTCTTTCTGTAGATGAGGAGCCTGAGGCTCAGACAAATACAGTGATGGGCCCACTGGCTACAGCGGGAGCCAGGATTTGAACAGAAGGCTGTTAACCACTGAGCTCTTAACCACTGTGACATCCTGCCGTGGGGGAGGCAGGGAGAGAGAACAGCCAGAGAGCAAAAGCCAGACAGAGGGAAGCAGACTGAGAACGAGTCTCTCTCCTGCAGCTCCAAGCCACCTGTGGGTTTGAGGGGGAAAGATTACTCCATCTCTTAGAGGTGAGGCTGGCATGTGCCAGTATGGGTGAGGGTTGCAGGTGGATGTGAGTACACGGCCAAGAAAAGGGGTGTGCTGAGCCTGTTCCTGGGGCTACGAAGATAAATAATGCCCTGGATGATACAACGCAGCAGCCCAGGTGGGACAGACTTCTCCCCGACCCCAGCCACCATCAGAGCCAAGGGTGCCTGGGAGCCTCTGAGCCCCCCACCTCCTTCTCACTGTCACCCCTCCCCCACACACCTGGGCTCCCTGAGGCTCTCTGGCCTCTGCACACTCCATTCCCTCTACTGCATCTCCGCCGCCTACCTCTTACTTATTCCTGGACATCAGGGAAGCCTATTGGATGTCTCCTGGGCTCCGCGGACAGCTGCAGGTCCCCATCTCAGCTCTTATTCTTCTTGTTGGCTCTTCTATTCTCTCTACCCACCACATTCCCCCAACTCCGTGCCCAGCACGGGACTTGGCTGGCAAACAATAATTCTCAATAAATGTTTGATGAGCTCAATTCACCGACAGATTTAAAGATCATGTCAGTAACTCATTCAGTCCTTTCCTCAGACTTAGCACAGATCTATGTCACACCGCCCTGGGAACGCTCTCCCCAGGCAGAGGGGAAGAGGCAGGGATATTCACGTGGCCTCAGTCAAAGAACTTCAGCTAAGAACAGCCTGCCCAGGGAAGCCAGGTACACAGGGAAGGATTCATTCCCTTACTCCTGTTCTCCCCGAGAGGTGTCAGGAGTCAAGGGAGGGCTCTGAAGCTCAAGCCCAGCTCTGCTGTGTGACCTTGGGCAAGCCATCACCCTCTCTGGTGACTTCTTAACAAGAAAGGCAGGACCCAGGGAAGCTGGGAAGGGGCTGGGCTG